GTAAGTAGGGCTGTGTGAAACTTCAGTCGCTGATTCTATTTGGAGGAGATTCAGCCTGATTCGGTGGCTGAAACTCCGAATAGAATCAGGAGACCTATTAATCTCTCTGAATCGGGCTGAATCGCCTCAGAATTGGATGGTGCAGATGGAGCATCCCATAGCAGTGCATGGGCGGAGGGTCCACATGCTCAGCGGTGGACCCGGAAGTGGACCCAAAGTACTTCTAGTCCACTTCCAGGACCACCACGGAGTGTGTGGGGGACCCCCCCCTCCCACCCCTGGCTCAGCAACTGGTGCCTCCTGGGTCTGGGGAGGCACCTGGTGTACCCCTGCCACCGATAGCTGAGCCAGGAGGGGCACCGGGGGCTCCCCCACATGCTTGGTGGCAGACCTGGAAGTGGACTAGAAGTACTTCTAGTCCATTTCTGAGTCCGCCACCAAGCGCATGGGGGACCTTCCCACACTCCCATGGGATGCGCCATCTGCCCCACCATCTCAGCATTCATGAGCCACACCTGGTACCTCGAGGTACATAGAAAAAACATATAAAGCTGTGTCTATGGCTGAATCGCTGATTTTCCAAATCAGAATTGAATCTTCAGATTTGGCCGAATTGAATCAGGACAGTGATCTAAATCAGCAAATCGAATCACTGTCCCCTGAATTAGGCCAAATCCGAATCCAAATCAAATACTGTCTGCTTCATGCACCCCTAATAGTAAGTAAGTTGGATCATCAGTGATACCATTTGACATGAATATTTAATATATCTAACAAACCTTATAACCCGTCACACCTATAGCATGTAAACAATGACCTAGCTGTGCTTAGGGAGTCTTAGTTAAATCTTACCAGTTTTACATTTTGATCAGATTTTTATCAGCTTTGCTGCTGTTCATAATAACTGTTAAATTACCAGTTGTATAAAGTATTGAACCTTAATATAGGCCCGGCAATGCTGAGCGATTAGGAATAGCTAAACACCGGGAATAGAAGAGCATAATTGGAAAGTATCAGTAATATTTGAATGGTCACCATTAGAAGTTGTTATAATTGTGATTAACTTACCCACTTGGCTCCTGCTATTTTAATGGATATTGTATTTCATGAGCCAAATTTTAATGCCAGTTCATCTTAATGACCACAGATGTAGATTTGCTTTGGTAGATCCTCAGTTCTCTGTGTCCCAGGCCTGTCACTGCTCTGGCTAGTTGTGTGACTTCATTAGGGAGACGAGAACTATAGTACTTAGGCTAGTATTAGCTGGGTTGGGTGCATTCAACTTTTTGTGGCAGCTCCCTGGAGATCGGTCTTCTCCTGTTGTTTACTCATTTACTGTCTTTCCAAACACAGTGTTTCAAAGTTGCCAACCACTGATACCTGCTTCCAACTGAGAGTTAAAGAAAGGACTACAATTTTGACTTTCTCCCCTTACTGCATTTCCTAGAACTAGACTGTTACACATGTCAGCTGGGCTGGGTGGAGTGCGGGACTTCTCCTTTGAAAAGAGAATTCAAATCTTCTTACAATGGAACCTGCATTTCTTTAGTTTGTCCATTGGTTTCCAGGTCTGAAAGGTCCAGACTCCTGGAGGATATTTGTCCTAGAAATAATTGGCATCAGGATTTTGGCTCTGTAAGAGAGAGAAGTGATTCAGACACCAGACTGGGACTTCTAGGCTTGTCTTTGGTACTGACCCGGACACATTAATTAACCTGCCTCCCTGAGGTTCTCTTCTGTAAAATACTAATATTTTACAGTATTTTAATATTATCATAATATATTATCATTATTATAAATGATAATAACTACTTATTTTGTAAAAATTGGTTAAATAGTTATGGTTCATAAAGTGTTTTGAAGACTGGAAAAAGGTCATATATTAACAAGCAGTTTCTTCCCCGTAACTAATTTTCACTGATAACAGTGCTGACTTACATTGAACACCTTCAAGAGTAAATTGGATGCTTATCTTGCTGGGATCCTGTGACCCCAGCTGACTTCCTGCTCTTTGGGCGGGGGGCTGGACTCGATGATCTTCCAAGGTCCCTTCCAGCCCTAAAGTCTATGAAGTCTAACTCTGGAAAACATCATTTTTGTCTTCTAGTTGAAGAACAGATCAAAAGGTTTCTCTGCAGTATACTAAAGAGGACTTCATCTGTTGTTATCACTATTATGCTGTCATAATAGTGATCACATTATTATGGTAGCACCTAGATACCAACTCCTTTTCAAGGTGCTGTACAAAGTAAGGAATAGTGCTTGTCTTGAAAAAAATATAATTTATAAATTGTGTCCAATTTTTATTTACATAAGGTTCTAATAATTGAGGGCAATGGATTTTAACTTCCTTTGCTTCAAAGAGCACCAAGATGTCTTTTTTACATTGGGGTCATTTTGTCATTATAACAATGTTATGGTGCTTTGCAGTGAGTCTAAATGTCCAGTTTCAGGGTGGTTCTAATTTTCAAACAGTCCCAATTCATTTCTGCTAAACACTGCTCCAATAAAATGATTTACTGCATAGTGCAAAAATAATCAAGGTAGATAAGATAACTTCTCTATTTTCTTTTTTTTTCAAAACAATTAAAATTCTTGTTTTTAAGGGGTAAGTTTAGCCACAAAATTCATCCCATGTTCTCTTCAAACTCAGCACTATGAGCCCATACATCAGTTGGGTTAGTTGCTGTAGCAACACAATTAAAACCATATTTTGGAAGAGAGAAATGCTAGCCTCTCTCTCAGGGAATGTGTAAACAAGGGGAACTGCCCTTCCTTCTATCCTTCCTCATTCACATTGAAATATTGACTTAATTAGAATCAGGGAAATTATGTTTTAAGATCCTCTTTCAATTTGAGTACTGTGTGTAACTTCTATGAATCCTTCTTAACTAAAGCAATTGCTTTGTGTTGCTGAACAGTAGCATAATGAAGGGGAGGGATTAAAAAAAGAAGTGCCTGTACTTCCCTGCCCATGTGCTGCTTTTCCCAGGGTACTCATCACATTATGCCTCTGTCACTGAATATTTATATTATTACATGTTAATGCTTCTAATAGTTTCTTTCCAACAGACTTTTGACATGAAAATATTTTCCAGATATTCAGTTGGGCCTTGATCCTGCACAATAGAATCAATGGGAATTTTGCCCCTTGCCTCAGTGGAAGCAGGATAAGTTATAAGCAGGGATCCTGGTTTTCCATTTCCAATGGAAAACCAGAGAAAAGAGTGGATTTTCCTGTTTACTGAAGGAAAATGCAGATTTCTCATTTTAACGGAGTAAACCATGGATTTTGCAGTTTTGCAAAGAGCTCTCTGCAGACTGGCAGTGTTACAGCCTGCAAGTGGCTGGGGGGGGAGGAGAAGGGAGGTCAGGCAGGGGGTGCCATGTGCATGTATATGAACATGGCCACCCAGCAGCCTGAAGAGCAGCTCCCACAGCTAAGTGGAGGGTGGGGATTGAGGCCCCCATAGGGAGGGAGGGAGTTGGGTAGGGCTGGGGCTGCTACCCAGCTGTGGGGTGCATGGGGCTTGGGGCTCAGGGCTGGCATGCACAGCCTCAGGGCCCTGGTGGGGAATGGAATAGGGCCGTGAGCAGGTCATCTTGCCCTGCTGCCCTCAGCCAGGGCCTCTGCAGCCCAGTGGGTGCAAGCCAGTGAAGCCTGCCTGCCTCTCCCATGGGCAGGGAGCAAGCTGCCAGAAAGCCCTGAGTTGCGGGGTCCCTGGACATTCCCTCTATGTTGACAGTGCCCCCGGGGCCACCTGGGCAGGCAGCTAACAGGTGGATGCTACCCCAGTTCCCACACAGCACCCAGTCTGATCCAACTGTTCCCTAAGCCCAAGCTGGACCTGCACCCACTTGCTACCTGCCTGCCCAGGGGGCGACAACCCCACAGAAGTGATTAAACTGCAGAAATGGCCAATTTTCATCATGTGTACAAGCCCCCCTTGAAACTTGTATTTTTGGTGAATAAAGAGGTGAAGTAAAAAACCCAACTTAATTTTAGATCCCCATTGAGCTTGCAGGAATATAAACTGAACCTGTGTGATAAGGAGTCACTAAATGGAATATCACAGTGCCATTTATAGGGAGATGAGCTGTACTTTTACTGAAGGGCTGATTATGTCTCACTATAAACACAACGTCAGTATTACTTTTAATTTGATCTACTGCAATGGAATGAATTGGCATTAAAGGGAAAGCTATACAAATAACTAAATAAGTTTAGCACAGCGTGGTCTGACACTAAAATGTTGAGTAATGAAGTTTGGGAATAATATGAACAGCTTGACTCTTCTCTGACTATTACTTAAATGTTTAAAGTGGCTAAAATGAAGTATGTTGGAGGTATTGAAAGCCACACAGGATAAAATAAAGGAATAACGTAAGGGCTATGTAGCTTTTTATCAGCAAAGTAAGAACAGAAAATACTGCCCACTAGTAGCTATCATATCACAGTATTTTGAAGATGATAACAATGACTGATTTCTGGTATTGTAGTTCTGCTCCCAATGAATTAAATGTAAAAACTCAAATGGCATACATTTCAGTACTTATAAAATCAAGCCTTAATCTTTGCAACAAGAAACAACAATTTTTTGTGTTCTATATCTTTTTGAGGGGGGAGAGTCCTACAGTTTTAATTCAGACAAAATCCCCATCAGCTATGAGACTGGGATCTCTTGCATATGTGTTCTATATTTAGAGTGGCGTGTGTGTAGGGGTTTACTTTAGAATCCAGAGTCCTGTGTTAGTACAGTAACTGGGAATGAACGGGAAAAAATGCAGCTTCAAAACTGAAACAGGCTTTGATCCTACTATTTGGTTCAACTTCAGCTGAAGAGCTGAAAAGTTTATTCTTTTTTTCCATGTCATTTGATAACTGTAGCTCCTGCCTGCCTCTTTATTGAATGTATTTTATTTTACCAACAGGATGAATAATCTTTTTTTAAACCATTACATTGACTATATATATTTTTATTTTGTTGAAATGTTTTCAGAACTGCATGTTCCAGTAGCTTTCCTGGAATGCCCAAATCATCATGCATTTTCACAATCTAACCAAGCAAGTGACATTTCTCAGCTTGGGAGAAGGGAAGAAGGGACAAATTTTGCCCATCTGTGGCGCTGGTGGAACCAAACCAATAATGCACAGCCGTAAGTTGATACTTTTGTATCACATTATTATTGATATTTGTACATGTTTCATGATACATTCTTACAACAGGCAGTGAAGCAAGTCATGGAAAAAAATTCAGAAATCCAGCACTGTTCCACCAAGAAATGTACTTACATGTTGATCATCACTGTAGTACCAGAGCTTGTATGTGCTATTTAGGGTTTGTTTGTTTGTTTGTTTTAATCTCCCTTAACAAATACGTAGGTAAACTGAACCACGCATAGGTTGTGTATTGAAGCCAGTAGGTGCCAAACATTTTGGCAGAAATACCAAAAATAAGCCCAGCCTCCTCCCTGAGTGCTATGCCAATCCCCTTCCCCTGCCTGATCCGCTATCCTGCCCTATCTGCTGCCCTGCTGCACATGCCACACACAAGGGCTGCTAGTGCCACTTGTGGCATGTGCGCCACAGCTTGGCCTCCCCAATCTAAGTTATCTATAATTTTTAAAGCCATCTTCCCCTTTTCCTTATTATGAGGTGCATATGTATTTAATTGAATTACTATGAAGATGCATAGTGCTTAATAGATGGAATAATAAATAGGTGAATCTGGCCAAATGTAACTATAATATAGCTTTTTAAATAATATTTTTATGAGTTTTTTTTATTGCTTTCCACTCCAATTTTGCAGCTAATTCTTTGCAAACTGTTGTAGTAATAGATAAATACCTGAACAGTTATATTACTTCCCAGTCAAAACCTGTCCAAATATTTTTATTATTAACTGATTTATGGAGGGTCATTTATTGCAATCTGTAGCAAGTGCCTGTCCCAGTGGTGGCTGCTCAGCCCTTGCCAACCAGGCTCCCCTGAGGGGACCTCTCCCTTTTACTTTCCTGCCACACCTTGATGTTATTAATTTTTGATAAAAGGGAGGCTGCCCCAAGGCTTCCCAAGCCTGATCCGACTTTTAGGTTCACAGTTATTCATGGTCATTGCCTTAAAGGCTAGTTCTGTGAGCTCCATCCTCCTCAATACATACTTCCATGCCTCACAGGTGATCTACAGACATACACCCCTCATGGGCTATGGGTTCGAAGCTCTAGTCATTGCCCCTCTGAGACTCAAGACCTCTGGCTCTCTAGCCCTTCTGACACACTGCCCTCTCTCTGGGCTCTGGCTCTTTGGCCCCACACTCTGCCCTCTTGCAAGCCCTGGGGACTGGAGCTTTCCTCAGTGCACCCTAGTCTCCCCTGGGCACAGGACTCTCCTGGTGCCCTCCACCCTTCCTGCCGCCCCCCAGGTACTGGACCTTTTCCCAAGTACCTAGTCCTTCCTGGGCTCAAGCTCTCTCTGTGGGCCTCAGGCCCCTCTCTTCCTCTGGCTGTTCTCTCTCACTCTTGCTGGGCCGGTCCATACCTCCCTTTCAGTCCCTTCCTCAACCACCAGATTTCATCAGCAGCCCTCTCGGACCATTACTTCCATCCTCAGACTTATCTGTTCCAAGACCTGTTTTGCCCTTCTCCAGCACCAGACCCATGTTCCCAGGCCTATCTGTTCTAAAGCCTGCTTTGCCCCTCTTGGGTGCTGCTCTACTTGCTAGCTGACCTTGGGCACCTTGGCTCTCCACTCTCTGCTGCCCTCCTCTAGGCTATGGGCTCTTCCACTCCTGTTCATAGGCCTATCTGTTCCAAGACCTGGCCTGCTCAGCGAGTATCTTGGGAGCCCTGCTCCAAGTGCCCTGTCACACCATCCCTGTAATATTTTCTGGAGGTCCTGGTCAGAACTTTCTTTAGGGGTTCAGTGCCATAACTGTGTGAGCAGAAGTAAGACGTGTCAATTGTTTTCAGCCTCCAATTTAAGTAAAGTAGTTTCTAATGATAGTACAGGTTTTGTTACCAGATTTATAGCATCATCACCAAGTGGGGTTACCATGGTTTGGATGTCTTAACTTTGGTTCCATTACTTAAGATGTTTTCATTTTATTAAAGTTTTCACCTTTACTCTGAATTTCCTGGGTTAGTAATGCTTGTTTTTGGAGTGATTACAACATCCCTGTAATATTTTTACCCTTAAGTTCCTGAAATTTATACTTAGCAATAACTCCATCTTAACCAAATTTTTTTAATTTTTTGGTTTGGAAACTAAGTTCAAAAAAATATTTTAAAGCAACAAAAGCAGATTTAATGAAAAGCTTTGTTTTAGCCAACTTAAACAATATGCCAGAATGATATTAACTGGAAAATAGGGCAATATTTTCTTAAATGTTAGTTTTCTTGTAGCTCCTTTTTCTTTCAGTAGAGAGGCAGCAGCACTTTTCTTATAATAGATATTGTTCTCACTTTTTTAGGCATCAGATACCAGCTCAACTTGACCACAAGAATGACTTTAAAGCTCAAGACCTTTCTGTCATCATCAAAGCATACGTGCTAGTGACATCCTTAACACCATTACGGGCATTTATTCATTCAAATGCTACTGTCTGGCATTCCTCCAAAAGGAAATACTTTTTTGTCAAGGTAAAACTCTTCTTTTATTGGTAAATCTAGGCACCATATCATATAATCCTCTTTACGTGATGGGGCATCCGGCTCAGTGACCTGAGAGGTCACTTTGTATGTCCCCAAAGCCAAATACTTTGCTTGCTTTTTTTCCCTCCTTTGTTAGTTGTTCTTATTGGACACTATTGCTGCTCATTGTTGTTCTTATTGGATACAGTTAAAAGAAGAGCAGTTCACATAGGAAGTGAAATAACTATTATGCACAGTGTAGTTATCACATGGAGACAGTTTTTCTGGATTACTCATTTCAGTTCCAGTTTTTGGCACTGTGGTATGAGAGCATGTTCAGCAGTGTTCTTAAGCTGTAACACACAGCTGTATGAGTGCTGTAATGCTGGAGGTTTTTCTGGGTTGGTGTTGATCCCACAATTAAAGAAAAGTGCCATGGTGCTTCCATATTTTGTTTAGATACTGTGGAGCTGCATTTCCTGGGAGAGGTCATCAGAGGCCTTGAAACCCAGGTAAATGATCTCTAAGCTGGAGTATAGGGGCACCTGTAAACACCACAGGCTTTAATCCTTATTAAATTAAATAGGTTTATAAAATTTTAACTTGTTTATTTTGGAGTGTTGCATCTTTATTTACATGCACTAGGTTTTCAAACAAATTAGCCTTGGAGCATCTCATCTGTGTTTACACACACTAGGTTTTCAAATGAATTAAGACGGGTCCCTGGTTATTGCCGCAGGAGAGCGGGATGGTCCAGTGCTGACCCCTGGCTCAGGGCCCCCCACCCAGCCTGTGCCCATGCCCTGCCATGCAGCTGTGGAAGCAGGGAGTCGGCAAACAAGAAAAAAACAGAAAAAGCCACACAAGAAAAATAAAAGGGAAAGCAATTCACAAGTGAAAGCAATTTGAAGGGGTGAACTACAAAAAAGTAACAGTGCCATCTGCTGGACAAAGGGCTCATTACACTTTTTTGAGTGCCTTTGTGGTTCCCCGCAATGAATCCGTGGATGCTACATTATAATTCCCAGCGACCCAAACTAAACTACGTCCCTGGAATTTTAGTTTAATGCACAGGAAAGACTTTTTTAAAGCATTGGGAAATCCTGCTCATACACACAGACATGCAGTTGCAGTGCATGAAAGGGCAAAAATCATGGTGTGTACATGAGCCCTAGGTCTCCTGAGAGCCATCCTAATGATTCTAGGTTTTCTGAGGACAGATGCTTTAGAAATGTCTAAATGTTCAGATTTTGTTACCTCAAGGTAGCTGGACTTGACGCAATTGAATCCTCCCTCCTCCTTCCGATCAATTTGGGCCAGTAGGCACATGCTTACTCATGGGTACCTCTCTCCTGTTTTGTTCTGCTTAATGAGCAGCAACGGTGTCTAATAACAATTAACAAAACAGGATAAAAATGCAAGCAGCAACATTTGTAACACAGCTGATGCTCATGAAGGGACTGAAAATCTACTGCTATGTGTCACGGAGAAAGACTCTAGAGTGGCAGGCTATTTTCTTCAGATCTTCTCTGGAATACCAAAATTCCCACATCTCCATTTGTGGGTCAGGGAACATTTCATGTTCTATGCCCAAAGGAAGATAAAAGTAGCCTGGCTGAGTCTCTTGGGCAGGGGGCAGGACTTGGGTCTGAATTCACGTGTGTGCCAATACCACTATAAAATGTGAATCCTGGGCTGATAATGCTAAGAACTTGAATGATCTTGGAGCCTATGAAGGGTTGTGTGTGCATCTGCGCATGCGTGCATTGTTTTTACATGTATGGAAACCAGCTAACAGAATTTTGTCACTTCAAAACTTTTGTATCCACTGGGCTTAGTTTCATTTTATGCTTATTAAAAATATTACAGGCATCCAGTATTATCACTATAATTTCTTAAGTAGCTGCTAGTTTTGAGGATAATAATCATTAGTAATTGTGGCACAGCACTCTAGAAAATAATCACCGCTGAGAGAAGTCTGTGAGAGAGGGCGCCAGCCACCACTTACAGAACATTCTGGCAGCAGAAGCAGCAATAAAAGTGATAGATAGAAATAGCAGCACAATATACAGTCGCTCCAATCTGGTTACTGCGCCTGTGGTACTATATTTTCTGCACTTTGAGACAGTTGTCAGAATAGCAAGAATTATACAAAAACCAGAAAAGCACTTCTATAGTGATGTTGATTTAAATTCAAATTAACAAAATGATGGAAAACAGGATGTATAAGGCTGCCTCTTAGTATAAACAATGTACTGTATATAGAGCTTGAGAAGTCAGAAAGTCTCTAAGATATAATCAGTACAAGTAAAAGGGGCATCTGGATATGTCTATATTCATCTTTCTAGGGGCACATGCAGCCCTTACCAGGGTCTGTGAACATGTGTATAAAACATACAGGTACTGTGGGAAGTCAGTAGATGTGATCAGCCAGTATTTATGGAAAATAAATAAATGAACTTAGACTGAATTCCACGAGCCATCATACCATGTGGAAGACCTTGAAACAGACAGTTCATTTGGGAAAAATATATTGGGAAATTAAAGATTTAATTGAAAGATACTGTTCTTCCTGTCCATAAATTGGCGATTCTCTTTTGCAGTGATCTTCATGCATATTGCAAATACATTTCATGGAGTATTCAGCCAGTACTAGTTGCAGGGAGCCAGAGTGAAGGCAGCAAAGCTATGTCAGTTTACACCAAATGCGGAATTTTGGTCCAAAACATTTCTATTAACTTCAGCTACGCATTTTTTTAGATTAGGATTTCTGTGAATTATCTCTGATGTGAATGAAGAAAAAACTGCTTGTTTCATACTCTATCTACTCTAACCTGTCAATAGCTGATAATGGTAGAATGGATCTTCAGAAGTCTGTCTGTCATAATTCCCGTGATATCAAGAGGCATAATGACACAGCTGGGCATCCAGGGCAGCTGCCACCCACAGGGCAACTTCTAGTTGCTGCTGCACCATGCAATAGCAATAGCAATTGCTTTTGTGCCTTCCCCCTCCTCCCTGCCAAGTCAGCAGCAAGGGGGCTTGCTCCAGTCACTGCCTCCCCCTCCCACCCCACCAGTTATGCCACTGTTAATATTAGGAACTGAGCATGCAAACAACAGGAGACTCTGGCCTGGAGAAAAATTGCTGGCATTGTTATTTGAAATGGATTTCTCCCCTAGAAGAGATGAGTATACTCACTTATTTAAAACTTAGTGTAGATATGAGGGCATTAGTTTTTTGCATTGTATTACTGCCTTTTGAATAATGTTGCAAAGTACAGCATACCTACTCAAGTAGAAATAAAGATTCACTGGTTAGCAAGTCTGGAACTACTTTTAGTTCATTACTGGAATGGACTTGCCCGAGCAGTAGAGTTAATATACTACAAATTGCCTATTACTGTTTACAGTAACACCTGACCTTATGTGCACAACATTTTTTTACTACATGTGATACATACTATGTTTTTGAGAGCTGAAAAATCCCTGACATTTATTAAATACACAGTGGATCAGAAGAGATATCTACGGACTTAAAATGTAGAGAGTGAAGCGCTATTGCACAGCTTCTGCAAGATTTCTTAACAAAAAAATAACTATTGAAAATTATTCTTGCAAATCACATTTACTTAATCTGAAGATAGGGACTGGGGTTTAGAATGATTCTCTAAACCATCTGTGCTAAAAAAGAAGAAAAAAATTAGAAAGCTACCACAATGATAATTACATGTTATATGTATTAAGGACAGTCGGTCCCCAGTCAGTGTGTATAATAATATTTCCCATTATGCATACATATTGAGCAGAGAATTAACCCCTAAATGTTTTTCTGTTTGGTATGAGTGCTGGCATGTGAACCATTTGTCTAGCAAATTACTTTTTAGATTGGCAGGCATGTATCCTGCATC